TATTATTGTCATCTATAATTTGTACAATTAACCTCCTTGTGGTTCGACCCCGGTCTTACTGGGTTATTTATTACTTCAACACTCTTGCACTTGGGAGAAGACATCAATCTTTTAGTCGTGTCAATAATCAAAATAACAGGATATCGCCTTTTATAAGTAAAGTTTGCTTATAACATGTCTCAAAATTTGATCTCCTAATTAAGTCCATTTAAGATACTCTACAGATAGAATCCTTCTAGCATGATAAAGTTAACATATGTTCCTCGTATTAAATGACTAAGTGTCCAAGCTAATGGTATATAGATTACTTGTGAGGTATTCATAAGCAGGTTAAGAAGACAGTCACATAAAATAATACAAAATTTATGGCCCTAACCCATATCCATCCAAAAAGGGTGGTATCTGAGATAAGTAATCTTGTGTGGGTAATAGTCACTCGTGACAAGTTTCTATTAGGAGATTATAACAAGTTAATAAAAAAGAGAGATAGGCCTTTGCCAAGTGTTGTAAAAGATTATTGATAATGTTTATAAACTTTACTTTTCTAACCATCTGAAGACTTTTGATATCTTTAATGTGCAACATTTGACATCTTATTTAAAGGAAGAAAAGAACTCAATGATGAGTTCTCTCTAACCAGGAGAGAATAATGCAATTAGCCTTGTAGAAACTAGAGGTTTTGTGCAGTCAGTGGGCATTTACTAGCTAGATGAAGATTTGCCACAAACAATCTAATGGATGAACTAATATATGCTTTTATAAACTAGTGAGATGAAATTAAAAAATAAATATTTAAAAAAAAAATTAATTAGGATCCATTTAAGTTAATTAGCCAAATTCACAACCTGATTGTGAGAACATGATAAGGTTGTAGAAACAAATTGAATAAAATAATAAAGCTTAATTCTTAAACCCACCAAATATTGAAGGGCGAAATTCGAGGAAAAAAAATTTAAAAAAAAATAAGAAACTTAAGTTAACTTGGATCAACATGTCAAACTCATGATCTAAGACATGAGATTGTGAAAAACCTACAAAGAGGAATGTGAAAAAACAATAAAGTCCAATCTAAAACAAATAAAATATTGAATGATGAAATTAAAAAAATTATCAAAGACCTAAAAAAAGAGTCAAGTTAGGCTAATTTTCCGAATCAATGACTTAGGTCATAGGCCTGGATTACCCAATGGATGGAAAACTTAAAAAAAATCGTGATGTCAAAATCCTAATCGACAAAATAGTAAGGAATAAAATTTTAAAAAAATCAATTTAAAAAGAATTCAAAAAAAATGAATAGCATCAAAAGAATAATAACCAAATTTGGTATAAAATCTAAATGAACAAAATATTGAGAGACAAAATTGAAAAAGAAAATCAATTTAAAAAAAAAAGATAAAAAAACAAAACAAATAGAAATTAAAAGAATTAGGACCAAATTTGATGCTAGAATAAAATAATATGACACCTTTTGACTTTTCCAGGCCAACACAATATTCAAGGAAAAGAGAGAGAAATAAAGGAGAAGAAGAAACAAGAAGCCATCAGAGTCTTATCGTTAGACCATCGCACATACGCAAACCACCACTAGAAAAGTCTTGTTGTGGCAATTCAAATGCATCCACGGATGGTGGTGGTAAGCCATCGAAAGAGGTCGTACATGTCTTAAAAGCATGACAACCTCTCCCTGCACATTAACATGTTCAATGTATAAACCATCTAAATTTTCCTAGTTGACTTTTCAATCCCTGATATTTTCTTTTTTAATGTGTTGATGATGTGTTTTTGGGTTGGAATGACTAAACAATTGGAATTTTTAGGCAAAATAATAATTGTTTTAATTTTTGAGTCACCATAGTGGAATTTATAATCTTTTTTTATAAAAGATACATCGTTGACCTTAAAGGTCATTCGCACCTTTAAAAAATTAAAAAACAAATAAAACCAAGCCCAAGCCCTCAAGCTTAGGCTTAAATATCACCTACACGTCTGGGTTTTTCAATACAATAGCATAGAAGCATTGGGCTATAGACCCGCGAGCATGGACTATATATAGAAGAAAAAATAACCTGGTTGACTCCACTATCTAGATTATAAGTTTAGCAAGTTAAAACACGAAACTTGAGCTATTATTTTTTTCTAATATTGTTTTTTTAATTGATATATTTTTTGAATATGTCTCTTTTTTTAAATAACTTTTAAATATATGTTTCAATTAATATCCTTTCTTCTTTTCTTTTTTTTTGCATATTTAACCTTTTTTTTATAAAGAATTTTTTAATGGGGTTGTCTATATTTAAATTTTAGAAGATTATTGTAATTTATCTATAATTTTTTTCATATTTTGTATATATAAACTTTATTTTTAAAAATAAAAACTAATCTAGTTGAATCCACTATCTAGATCATAGGTTTAGCAAGTTAAAACATGAAACTTGAGCTATTATTTTTTTCTAATATTGTTTTTAATTGATATATTTTTTGAATATGTATCTTTTTTAAATAACTTTTAAATATATGTTTCAATTAATATCCTTTCTTTTTACCTTTTATTTTATTCAATCAATTTATTGTATGTTTCTATTTCTATTATTATTTGATTGAATAAAAAATAATTTTAATAATCAAATTCAATAAATACAACCTCAAAAATATTTCATCTTGCAAAATTAAATATCTTAATTTATACTAGCTTATCGATTTTCCAAATCTCAATATAAAAGTAGGTTCAATTTGCAATGTAGTTGTAGTTGTGATCGTTTCCGCCCAAGTTCAAATCCCTCATTGCTTCTTCTTCCACAAAGAAGATTAATCAAGAAGAATTTTTTGTTCCTTTTTTTTTAATCAACCTAACAGTTAAAAATAAAACAACTTGTAAATCAAACAACTATTCTATATATTTTTTGATAATAAAAACGATGGTTCTAATGCCAACGCAGCTAGAGGTAAAAACGAGAGCTATACACCCATTATCTTATCATCCGAGGGTGTAAACTAACCCTTTTGTTTAACTGTTTGAGAGGCCACATGAAAGCTGTCCTGGAAGGATGACAAAGGCACTGAAAACTCCCACCTTCTCCTTCCTAAAGCACCGATGTTTTGAGCATTGATTATCATTGTATTTGAATCCATAAGGTCTTGTTTTATTGTTTTATTCTAATGACACAAGCAACCGTTGGCATAGTTCTGATGTTTTGAGTGCTTCAATGGATTTTCATGATAAAAAATAATTGTTGAGTATGTTCAGGATGGATATTTTCTTCCAATTAATTTTGATTGATTCCAATTAGAAAACATGGAGTCGGTGAAGGCAGCAATGAGTGCTTCTATGACTGCGCTAAAGAATTTCTTGCAAGCTTATTCAATTGGAAGTTTGCAAGAATAGGTTATGGATGTGAGCTGCTGATTGAAATGATCATGGGATTTATTGTATTCTCAACAGGAAAGCCATAACGGTTCGTAAGGATGGTCTAGGTTGAACAATAGAAAGGGTGAAGAAGAAAGACGAAGAAGATCATTCATAAAAAAAACTAGTACTCTCAGGCTAGGATTGCATGCTTCCCTATCTGTAGAACAGCTAGTTATTGTCCATTTCCTTTCAAGTTGTCTTACCTAGCTAGTCTTCTTGTCAGTCAAAAATATGAAGAAATGATTGGAAGGATAGAATTTTCATCAAAAAGAAGCTCTGCCAAAATATATTTGTTTGTTTCTCTTCACTTTTATTAGTGCACTGCCTGCTAAACAAGCACAGCAACAGTCACGCTGTTTCTTTACGGTCACATACAGCGTCCTACAGTAAATAGCATTCATAAGAAGGAATGCTGTTTTATGGCCTTACGAAGATAGGACTTAAAGGTTGTTCAGTCTATCTGATGATTCATTTTAAAGTTCACTATCATCAAGCCATCCTTAGGATTGAAATCTATTGTATTTTTCCGAAGTTAAATAGTTCTAATCAAACACGCAAGGACTCACAAACAAAGATTTTTTCTGCTACAAAATGGACCTGGATTGCTCCAAGTTCTCTGCACTTGCAGAAAAATAAATGAATATATCCACTTATATTGTAAAGTTGAGTCAGAGTTATCCAAACTCAAGAATCAAGTTTGTGTGTTTAAATATGTATATACGTATACATACATGTATAGCACCTATAAACTTACCATAGAAATTCATTTAACTTCGTCGCATGTTTGGTATACCTTCTAACTCTTCTAACTGAATACAGCTCAATGCACCCAATCTTATTCCGTGCTTAATGCAATAAATTCTGCAAACAGAACCCGATTTCCCAAATTATAAAAGACTCAAGAAAAAGTGGCTAGGAAATAAATAGAGGAATCCCATGATTCCTGAAAGCTTTGGCGTAGAACATGAATTCAAAAGCGCACAGATCGATTGATTTATACAAAACCAAGGGCTATAACATTATCAGAAAGTTTTTTGTAATTTAGACAAATGAACATGTGTGTAAGGAGTCTTTCAGTCAAGTAAGAGAAACCTCTCTATATGAAACACACATTGAAAGAGAGAAGTGCAAATACCACGAAAGAGAGACATGAAAAACAATGATGGTTAAATTAGAAGTAGACTACCTCAAGTATGTGATGTAAGAGAAATATCAGATTAGATCATTCCGGAATACTGAGGGACAGCCATGTGTCAATCGTATCTTTGGATGCACCTAAACCAACTCAGGTATGAAAGGAAAGAGAGTGAATAATATAGTTGAAGGTCATTCAACAACTCATCATGTTTGCAGGAAACAGAACTTAGATTACACGAAGAACAGATAAACCAAGAAGAGATACTTAGTCAATTGTAGACTGTAAAAGTTGTCCACTGATAGTCACTGAAGTTCCTTGATACATCCCACATAAGATTCCAATAACTGCAAGGACAGGGAACCCTCCCATGTGTTACCTTTCCCGTCCCAACAGCCAGGAAAAAATGATGCTGAAAGCAAAAATGACCAGGGAAAATCTTAATCAAAATGAATGGATACATTTTCAGAGGATCACTATAATAATTCATAATAGGAATTTAACTGAAAATGCAATCCCAAGAAAGATCTAACTCAAAGGCAGCTTGCACAAAAGATAAAGAATCTACATGTGCAGCAATGATTTGGACAATACCTGGACAAAGATTTCCAATGACATTCTGAAAGCTTAAAGATCCAAAGGCTTCTTGAAAGGAGACTTTCTTGGAATCAGAAAGGGAACTGAAATATTCATCAAAGAGCACAACCCAATTCTCAAAGGAAACATCCATATTTTCATATCAACCAGATTCAGTAACTTTCACTGCGAGTCAAAATCTTACAAAGCCTGATGTCACTTTTTAATTTATGGACCAGTCCGACAAATAACTTTGCAACCAGAAAGAAGTGCACCGTCTGTACCCTAAGTGTTTGCGAGCAAGTAGGAATGCAAGGAGTGGGAAAACACACAATCATGCATGCGATAAATCTCTTACTGCTGTTCACTCACATAAGAAGAAATTCAATCAATTACGTGCCTCATCAGAAAATAACTGAATAGAATATTATTGTCCTGGTGTCAGTTCATAACATCTATCAAACTATCAACGAGGTTAAATGAACTAGAGAGTTTATCATCCTTGAATACCATGGCAACAGCCATCCTCCATAAATCTACATTGACAAGTTTTCCCTTCTCCAGAGCATTAAAAGCTGACCGTAACAAATCTTCATTCTTTGCCTCACACAACCTATTAACAAACTTGCATATACTGGCAGAACAAGGAACAAAACCCTTGAAAATCATTTCATCCAAAATAAATGCTGCTTCCTTGAACTGCATCCCATTGCAAAACCCGTCAAAAAGAATCCTATAGGAAACAACATCAGGAGCACAGCCACGTCTTGGCATATCTTCAAATAAATCATTTGCTTCACCCCTTTTCCCTTCTTCAAACAGTTCTCGAAGTATCACATTGTAGCTGATAACATCAGGCTTACACCCTTTCTCCACCATCTCATCCAACAATCTATAAGCTGCTTCAAAATCCTTATCCTTACAAAACAAATTAATAATCACATTGTAAGTTACAGTATCGGGTTTGTACCCACGTTCTTTCATGTCCTCCCAAACACCTAAAGCCTCTTCCTTTCTCCCAGCCTTAAAAAGCCCACTAATCAAAGTAGAATAAATTGCTGGATCCAACTCAATTTTATTTCTAATCATCTCCTTCTTAAGCCTAAAAGCTAAACTTAACTCGCCATTCTTACAAACCCCCTTAATCAATGACGCGTAAATATAAGCATTAGGATACACCCTATAGACCTTAACCATATCCGTCTTCAGCTTAAAAGCCTCCTTCAACCTCAGATGCAAACAAAACCCATAAATCAAATTACCAAATGTAATCACATTAGGACTAACACCTCTATTAGTCATTTCATCAAACACGTTGGACGCATCATCTAATCTCCCACTCGCACAAAACCCACGAATCAATAAATTATAGGTACAAGCATCTGCTTTCCCCAATTTCTCGATAACTACAAAAAGTTCCTTCATTTTATAAAAATCCTTGCACATCAAGAATACACTTAGCAAGGAATTATACGATTTTACAGTCCTTTGGACACGAAACGAAGGCAATTCATCGAACAGTTGGAGAGCATTTTCAGGGAGGCGAGCACGGCCATAGAAATTGATTATGTCGCAAAAGAGAGCCTCTTTAGGGGTGACAAGGGTTTCTTCTTTGAGTTGGGCAAGGATTTCTTGCATTTCATTGAACATTTTAGCTCGGCCAAGCTTGGTAATGATGAGGTCATAAGAGAGAAGAGAGTAGCGAAAGGGTTTCGAAGGGGTCTTTGGGTTTGGATTTTTAAAGAGTTGGAGAGCGAGTTTAGGGTCTTTTTGGAGACGAAGAAGAGAGGCTAGTCTGAAAGGGGTGATGGGTCTTGATGGGTTCATATTTGCTGGGGCTCTCCTCTGTCCTATGTATTTGTTTGATAGATGACCTACCTAAATGAGTGACTTCTATATTCCCGCCAAAAAGAGGGCGAGAGGGAGGAGAAGATCGATAGGCGACATGTAGTTTTATCACTTGAAATGTGGATATACAAATACAAGACCGTGTCACGTGGGTTGATCTGGTGATCCAGAATTCTAGTTGGGTTTAAATTAAAAAAAACTCAAGCCCGTAATTAATTCTAGAAAAAATTGTGTGATACATTGAGGTAATTTAGAAAACTTGAAATAAATCCATTTTTTTTTTTAATATCAATTATTTTTTGAAGGCAAAGGACCTTCTTCTTTTTTTAACATCTTAACATGCCAGGTTGTTATTTTTTTCATTACTTTATGTTATCCTAAAATGAGCAATATTTTTCCTCACACGCAATGAAAGGTAGAGGGGTTGGAAATGTTGTAGCTCTAATATTCAATTAGGTTTCTCCTCATTACTTTAACGATATTAAAATTTTAAATAGAAAATAAATTAAAGGAACTCAAATAAAAATATAGTAGGGTTTTGTAACAAATTATTAATGAGATTAGTTTTCTTTTTATCTTCTCAATTTTAATAGTTAAACTTATTAATTAATTCTTTTATTTATGTTATAAGCTTACATTTAAAATAAATATTTAATATAAATTAAAGGTATCTTATATTTATTATATATATTATTATAAAACATACTCTCGTTAAGGAGTTATTAATACTTTAAGTAAAAAATAATGATATAAAACCTTGATAAAAATACGCTTTTAAATATTAATTAGCAATCATGCTCATATACAAGTTATCAAGCTAGAACAATGTCATGATTTTTTGGTTAGTCCTTCTCAACTAGCAAAAATCAGCCTATATTGTATAAATTTCATCACAGATTCTATGCTCTATAACTGCAAATGTAACTCCTACCTTGAAAGGAAATTCTACTTTAACCTATTTGTTGAAAAGTTACCAAAAGGTTTTCAATGAACTAAAAAGATTATTAGCTTCTAAACATCATGACAATGATATACCTCTTAAAAAAGAGACCCAACTACTCAACTTAAGACCTTATACGTACTTTAGGTTAAAAAATATGTTGTTGAGAAGATGGTCAATGAGATAATGGAGTTAAGGGTGATTCAACCTAGTAACAACTCTTTTGCTTGTTAAGAAAAGGGACAAATTCTAGAAACCGTGTTGATTATAGAGCTTTTAATAAACATACAATTAAGAAAAAAATTCCCTATAACATTGGTGGATAAGTTACTTGAACAATTGGTGGGTGCTATTGTATTTTCAAAAATAGATTTAAGATCTGGTTATCACCGAATCAAGATAATTACATAAGAGTTCAAAAAAAATTTAAGGACCTATAATGGCCACTATGAATCCCTTGTTATATATACCTTTTGGATTGACCAACAACCCTACCACGTTTCAAAGCTTGATAAATGATGTTTTCAGAAGCCACCTTGAAAGGTTTATATTAGGTTCTTTGATGATATCCTAATTTATGGTCACTCCATTTCAAAACACGTAAAGCATTTGAAGATAGTGTTTTAGTTATTATGGGTCTATAAATTAGTAGTGAAAAGAAATAAATATGTTTTTTGCAGCATTCAAATAAAAGAATTTAAAGCATGCAATTTATAAAGATGAGTTATCTATTGATCCATAAAAGATCATAGTTATGGTGGATCGGCCATTACCTAAGACTATTAAGCAATTAAAAAAGTTATTAGGTCTCACTGATTATTATAGGAGGTTTGTTAAAGGTCATGGGTCCGTTAATAAACCATGGATACTGAAGCAAATGCTTTTATTTGAAATGAAAAAGTAGTTAAAGCTTTCAAAACTCTTAAGAAAGTCATGATTAGACCCCTGTTTTGGCATTACTAGACTAAAGCAAACAGTTTGTAATAAAGATTGATGCTTTAAGAGTGAGGATAAGAGCAATATTAATATAACAGACATACCCTATAGCTTATATCAACAAGTCATTAAGTCTTAGGCAACAGGCTCTTTTCATTTATGAAAGGAAAATTCTAATTATCCTCTATACAGTGGCCAAATGGAGACATTATCTATAGGGAAGGCATTTTAAGATTCATATTGACTATGTTAGCCTCAAATATCTATTAGAACAAAAGGTGACCTATCCATCTCATCATTTATAGCTAGCAAAGTTATTGAATTTTGATTATGAAATCAAGTATATGAGGGGAAACGAAAATTTGGCAGTTAATGGTCTCTCTATACATACTAGTTGTGAAGTATTTATCAAGGTGGTATCTATCATCTTTACCAATATTATGGTGGAGCTCAAGAAGTCATGGGAGACAAATAATGTCATACTAGAAATCATAAGGGACCTACTAAAGGATCCCGACTCTCACCCTCATAACAAGTGGGTGAATTATAACCATTTGAACTGAAAAGTCACGATTATGGTTGGCAATGATCTTAAACTTTAACACAAGCTAATTTTCATGTATCATGATATAGTTATGGGAGGACATTATGGGTTAATTATCACTACTAGAAAGATTGGAAGCTTATTCTACTGGAAAATGCTATATAAGCAAGTGAGGTAATATGTAAGAGAATACACCGTTTATTAAAAGAATAAGTTCAAGTATGCGTTTCTTCTTATGCTACTATAACTATTACATATTCTTAAGTACCATTTATTGATATCAGTATGAATTTTGTAGAAGGGTTACCTAATGTCATAGCAATGCTATCATTTATCTGGTAGTAGTAGACTCAGTAAGTACACCTATTTTATTACAATAGGATCCAGATGGCTTTCTCTAGCAGAATGGTGGTACAACACTAATTACCACACTTTTATAAGGTTCTCTCCTTAGAAAATTCTATATAGTCAGACTCTTCTACTTCACATTTCTTATTTTTATAAGGACTTTAATATTAAAGCAAATGATGATTTATTAACCAAAAAGGAAAGCATGCTCAAATCATTTAAGAATAATTTAAAGTCAACTTAAAATAAGCATAATTAGAAAATAAAAAAACGAAGTGAATGGTCATTCAACATTCAACATTCAAGATTATATGTGTCTAAAATTACAACCATACTAGCAAACATTCATAACTTAGATAGCCTTACATAAATTATTAGTCAAGTACTATGGTCCAAACAAAATCATAGAAAAAATTAGGGTGATGGCCTGGAAACTAGGATCTCCTACCTTTGTACTAATTCATTTTGTGTTCCATGTTTCTCAATTAAAGAAGCATATAAGAAATAAAGAGAATATGTACGGAATTACTCATTACAACCAGTGCACCAGCCTCAAGCAGTGTTGGATAGGAAGATAATAAAACTCTAAAACCGAGCTATGACTAAAATTCTTATTCTTTGGAAGGATTATCCTCATTTAAAGCCATATAGGAGTGTTTAGAATATTTTTCTTTTTGTTACAGGGGGAATTGTCACAAATAGTTATCAATAAGGAAGATTGAAGATAATGAAATTATGGCAGTTAGAATTTGAATAAATAACTGTTAATATTGTTTGTTGAAATGCAATGTTTGATAGGGGCTTCTTGTGTTGAAATGCAACATTTTACTTATTGTTTAGTTATTTGATTAGTAAGCCACATGTTAACTTATCTTTGGAATTATTAATTGATATTAAAATTGTTAATATATGTAAGAATTGACAGAGAATTTTACATGAATGAAAGATAACCAATTCGGAGCCCCCACACCCCTTCATTTTCTTCTATTTAGACTCTCTCTCTCCCTCTCATTTATGTAATTATCAATTTTTTCTCTATTATTGGAATTGCTAACCAACACCCTTCTTTCATGGAAAAACTTGGAAGAAATTCAAGTAGACACTATCTCTATTAAGCTTGCAACAAACCAACAACTCATCATTTTTTTTATTATTATTCTTGTTTGTTTTAGTTTTTTCATTCCCATTTCATTAGATGGCTTTCTATGTGATTTTTTCCTGGATTATTTGATAACCCTTAGATTTCTTCCTTTTTTTTTCTAAAATCACATATAATGATTTATGTGTCTATTTATTTTTATTTTCATAAAAAATGATGTGGAGGTTCCTATATAAATTCCTATTTTTTATTGTTTCTAAATGTTATTTTCCTTGTAGAAATTTTTAGAATTACAAATCTTAAATATATTTCTTTATTTTTAATTATGTTTAATATATCTCGCATAATATCCAATTATTCAAGATATTTTTTTTGTAAGGTTTTTCCATTTAAATTGATATGATTATATTTTTCATTCATAAAATCATTAAAATATAAGAATGGCTAGCAAAAAAAAAAAAAAAAAAAAAAAAAAAAAAAAAAAAAAAGAGGTTCATGCTCTAGTCACTTATCCTTGAGACTCAGGACTCGAGGTTTAAAGCTGAGCCCAACCTAATTTGTTTATGCTTACTTATGACTCTTTGACCTTTATTTATATAAAACATAATAAAATATTGTATTTATCCAATGTGAGATAAATAGTTTTGAGTTATATAAAAACATGTTAATAAATTGTTCTTTAAGATTAATTTCTTATATACTCATAATTTGTTTTAATCATTTAAACATTTCATTTTAAAGAACATTTATTGGTTAATAATTTTCAATAAGTTTGTTAACCTAAAAGTGAATAGACTACTTTTAATTTGACTTAAATGTGACAATTATCTATATTTTCAAAACAAATTTCTCTTTGTACCATAAATGAGAAAACTACAAAGCCTTCTCAATTTTAGACTTCTAAGTCTACTCAGTATAGTTATCAAATCTAACCTCGTAATTATATAAGTCAAAACCTTAAATCATCACAAATCAACTCATTAATTTATAGATTATGATAATTTGAACTTTAACACGTAAGCGTGTCTGTAGTTAAAAAGTAATGAGTATATTAAATTAAAAGATAAAACATGTTTGAATTCTATAAGATACACATGTTTTCTTTAAATCTTCTAATATTTGAAATTATATATTTTATTTGTCTCAAAGAATTTGTTAATTTTTTCTCTCGATCGATCTTGATTAAATTGATTGTAATTGGTAAAATCATCTAAATGGATCTAAATACAAATCCTATCAAGATTAGGTATTGGGCCTTCAAATTACCCCCATCAA